GTATATTATTATTTAATTAGTATTATTATTTTTATTTTTATTTTTTTTATGAATAATTCTTTAATTTTAATTACTATTGATTTGTTTTTAGTTTTATCAGAGACTAATTTAATACAAAAAGAAATTTATTATTCTTGTAAAAAAAAAAAAAAAAAAAAAAAAAAATCGCACCCATTCAAGTGAAAGTTCTTTTCTATACATATACATGAAGCAAAATCTATAAAGTATTTTGTACATAATATATGTTTCTGTAAAAAGCTCATATATAGTAAATGCATTCATATTGGTATTAAAAACGTTTCAAAAGCAAGCAAACAAAAAGTGAAACAATTTGATAAATTATTCCTAAAGATTTCCAATTTTCCATTGTGATAAAAGATAATTTGTATACTTAACTAACAAAATATATTTATCTTTTTCTTATTTTAGAAAATTGCTTAAAAATGTGAGAAAAAAAAAACACCAAGAACAAATTCTTTATTTACCTAGCCGCGCTTTGCCTACTAGAAAACAATTGTAATTCCAAAATATTGTTGTATTTAAAGAAGTAAAGAAGTTTTGCATTGTTTAATGCGATGGAACATTTTTAAAAATTGCATTACCTTTTAAGCAGTAAATAGTTTAATTAAGTTTTAGCTATAAACAACTGGAAATCATATCAAGTGAAACTGTACATTTATCACACACCCACACAAGAATACTACACCACACACACACACACATACTACCACATGCACACAAACAAAAATATAATTTAAGATATAAATATATTAAAATAAATACATACATATATAGTTTAAACGAATTTTTTGCGGTTTTCTTAATAGTGTGCGGGGTAAAGGGAATTCGAAAATATACCATGCATATATGTATGAGACTTTATTAATTAGACGAGCTTGGAAATTATCCTCTCTTATTTGAAACGAGCCTCTAACCATACAACAGAGCGTATGTGTAGTGAGACTAAATAAGATAAATAAGGCCGATTATGTTGGCTCGCCGCTCAAAGTGTAGTGATTTTGAGGTCCAATATACATACTTGTCGAACGACCCAAGCAAATACGAAGTTAAATGATGCCTAATACACAAAATTAATATGTCAAACAGCTTGCTTTAAATGTCCCACTTAGTGAACGCACTTCAACTGCTAGAGGTGGAGCTAAGCGTTGAGTTTAAATGCTAACGATTTGATGGCAAAGATAAATGTTATCGATAATTTAAAACGAACTAAATCTGCTAGAGATGGAACAGCCTAATAATGGCAAGTTTTTATATTTCCTTGCACATCTACCAATAAAAGAGCTCTGCGATAAATGCATAACTAGAATACATACATTTACCTATACATAAACATAAACATAAACATATATTAGTGCACTGTGTGAATGACAAAATAGACGTCGCTGGAACGAGTGAGTTCTTTATCAATTCCCACTCATTTAACGAAATGGTATAAAACAGAACGCTCGCTCAAATTGAAACTCGCTCATTATGTGCCGCTCACTCACTCAACTGAACTCAATTTGAATGCATTATATTTGACGTTCATACATATGTTGTGAAGACCTCTAATATAGTATATAAATACATACATACATACTTACCTTATGGAGTCAGGCATACCACCTTCCGTCTGTTTTGCACAAAAACTGATGTAGTATTATGAAGTATTATCACGCTATCTTATCGTACATGCTTACTTACAAAAACATAACTTATAGTAATGATTCGTCATACTTCACTAAATATTCATAGTAAAAGTGTTTTAGTTTAAGTACAAAGCAAATAAAATTTATTATATATTATAATGCATACAAATTATTTGATGCGCATGAATGTTGCGTTTACAGGGTATCTCGTAGTTAAAATTGAGTAATCCAATTAAATTCTTATAAGTCCATAAACCATTTTAACTTTGAGTTCCACTCCCAGGAAAATATAATTCTTTTAGAAAAACTTTCGGCAAGTTTAACAGCAATCCAGACTTTTTGTTTTTTTTGCTTTTGTTGTTGTTCTTGTTTAGGCGCCCTTTGTGGGCAATGGCAAGTAACGATTATATGTGACCAAGTTTTTGACCAACGCTGCCATGGAAAGCAAGCAAACCATTCCAGCTGGCATCAGCTTTCCAGACCTATTCCAGCGAGCACCCATCAATCCAGCCAAAAAGAGCGATGTTCCCAGCTGGAGAAGCGGCCGTGGTGGATCTTGAGAGTTTAGGTGAGCGCCATAGCCAAGCAGCGCTCCAAATGCAACGCCTGCTCCCAGCGAGGGAATGGAAGCTGAAATTAAATTTCTTTTCAATTAACAAATTGAAAAGATGAGACACAAAACAATAACTAACCAGCCTTTGCGTAGCCCATGATTCCACCAGCGGCAACTGTTGCAGCGTATACATAACCAAACCAGTCCACAGGCATTTTAGTTTCTTGTTATGTTCAACTCTGCTAATTGAAGACAAGCTTATATAATTACAATTTATTTAATATATTTTCCGTCCGCTTACTTTTAGAAATTGTCAAGTAATTCTTGTGCGAACTTAGCTCAGCTGTTGTGTTTTTGTTAACACAGAAAAACAATGGGAATATAGTGGGGATAAATACTAGTTCATTCTGAGTAGTTCACTAAAATGAACATACAGCTGAACTAGTTCATTTGACATTCACAAATACTGTTCAGCCTCTTGTCAACTAAACAATATTTGTTTTACTTTAATAACAAAATAAAATCATCATCAAGATTGTATTATTTATTTGATTAACTAGTAATATTTACATGGAAAACAATTGACCGATTGCTTTAGGTGCATCCGATAGATAACTATTTAATAGAGTAGCTCAAATAAATTATATTTAAGTAGTCCGACTCAATAAATAATTATTATTTCATCTATATATAACATGTTTTTAATATTTTTGTATTAAATCTAGATTTTGATTTTTTGTTAAATTTTCCTTTAAAACACCGGTGCATTGGTAAAATCCTATCGATATTTTTGCAACACGACGCTAAAGAGTGTTAGTAAACGTACAAAAAAGTGTTAGAGCTAAGCATCCCTATGTACGCATTTTGGGGCGCATAATTTTCACCGAAAAAAATCTAAGAAAGCTAAAGTTGTGTCTATAATTAATTCATTCAAATAGTGGTAAATGCTTCGCTAATGTGTTTTATATGAAGTATTAATAGTAAAATACACTTTCAGCAAATATTCTGCGTAAGAACACGCCATTCCGGCTCAAGTGCATTTGGTTATTGAATTTTCCAGTTGCACGTCGTCAAGTTGCGTCGGTGTTTTTGTGCAAAAAGTGCGGGGCGTGTACGCTTACTAAAAAAATACAATAAATACAATAGGCAATCATTAGGAACTGAGACCCTCTCTGACCGGAGATATTTGCAAATATGAGTGACTTTCAGACGCAGCAGGCGAGTTTAAGTCAATCGCAGGCACTGGCAGCTGCCATACAACGTGCCAAGCAGGTAAGAAGAAGCATAGCAAATCATTGCCGGGCTATCCCAGTGTTCCATTTGTAGAAAAATAAGCATTTTTTCGGCAAAACTAACTGTGTGTATCAATTACAGATTGCCGCAAAAATACAGCCAAATCAGCAATCACAAGGAGGTGGAGGAGACTCCAGTGGCCCCGCCTCCGGAGGCGGCGGAGGTAGCAACAGTTTTAAGCGGCATAACGATGATCCCGATAGTGGACCCGATTGTAAACGCTCCTTTGGCAGCCCTGATTACGGTCAAAATAACTCGAACATGAGCAGTGGCAGCGGCGGTGGCAGTGGCGGCGGCAATATGACTCAAGCTATTGCGCAAGCCGCCGCTGTGGCGGCTCGTTTGACTGCATGGCCGGCTTCCACGTGCGAGGAACAAGTGCGCATACCCGAGAGCATTGTGAACGCATTTGTGGGACGCAGCGGCAGCGATACGCTAAGTCATCTGGAAGCCGAATCTGGTGCCAAGCTGGAGCTGATGCAAGATCAAGAGCGAGTGATAACACTACGCGGTACCCGAGAGAGCTGCACAAAGGGTCGCGAAATGCTGCAGCAGATGGTCAATCGGAACGGAGGCAACGGTACCTGTGAGGTGTTGTTGACCATCAATATGCCGCCACCGGGTCCCGGAGGCTATCCGCCATACCAGGAGATCATGATCCCCGGCGCTAAGGTGGGGCTCGTCATTGGCAAAGGCGGCGATACAATTAAACAACTTCAAGAGAAGACTGGCGCCCGCATGATCATCATTCAGGATGGTCCCAATCAGGAAGTCATCAAGCCATTGCGCATTTCCGGTGTGCCCCAGAAGGTCGAGCATGCCAAGCAAATGGTATTGGATCTCATTGCTCAAAAGGATGCACTGGCCATGCAGCAGCAGGGCGGACGCGGTGGCGGCGGCGGCTCTGGTGGTGGTGGATCTGAGCAAGGCTTCAATAATTTCAATAATGGCAACGGCGGCGAAAGCGTTGAGGTCTTTGTGCCCAAAATTGCTGTGGGCGTGGTCATAGGCAAGGGCGGCGACATGATACGTAAAATCCAAACCGAATGCGGCTGCAAACTGCAATTCATCCAGGGCAAAAACGATGAGATGGGCGATCGGCGGTGCGTTATCCAGGGCACACGGCAGCAAGTGGAGGATGCGAAACGCACCATTGATGGTCTAATCGAGAATGTGATGGTAAGAAACGGACTTGAACTCTACTTAAGTTGTAATGGGTAACATGATAAACCGATAACTGCTCCATCGAGCTGGCTATTTCGAGACATTCGAAACTTGACACACGAATCTATATATATATATATATTTATATAGTGTAACAAGGTGTACAAATTCATTCATGAAAATCAAATCAAATAAGTTAGAATTTACAGTTTAACACTTACCGATCACATGGCGTATTTAGTTTGTCGCGTTTGTATAGTATATTCTGGATATAACAGATACATATTTGATCCGCAGCAACGCAATGGCATGAACCGCAATGGTAACGGCGGAGGCGGCGGTAACGGCGGTGGAGGCAGCCAGGGGGGCGGCGATTCAAACAACTCGAACTATGGCTACGGATATGGCGTGAATCATGCCCAGGGTGGCCGCGAAGAGATTACATTTCTGGTGCCTGCTTCCAAATGTGGCGTAAGTAGATAATATATTAAATGTCCACTGAGCACAATTTGATTATCTCTATTCACTCATTAGATTGTTATTGGACGCGGTGGTGAGACAATCAAGCTCATCAATCAGCAGTCGGGTGCCCACACAGAGATGGACCGTAATGCCAGCAATCCGCCCAATGAGAAGCTATTCAAGTCGAAAGGTACCACCGACCAGGTGGAGTCTGCGCGTCAAATGATATCGGAAAAAATCAATATGGAGTTAACGGTGCTCTCGCGAAAACCGATTAGTGGTGGAGGCGGTGGGTCTGGCGGTGGTGGCGGTGCCAACAATGCGCATCATAACCAACAGCCAGGCGGTTACGGTGGCAACCAAATGCAGGGCGGTGATCCAAATGCCGCCGCTGCTGCCGCCTACCAGCAACAACAGCAACAACCCTGGGGAGCCTATGGACAACAGGGCAGCTGGGATCCAGCCGCTGCACAACAGCAGCAACAGATGGCCATGGCAGCGGGTCAGGGCCAAGCAGGCGCGGCTGCGGGTGCGGGTGGTCAAGATTACTCAGCCCAATGGATCGAGTACTACAAGTAATTAACAACAGCTTTAAATACTTAAAATATATTTTTACTAATTGGCTTCTTTGCGGAATCCCAGGCAAATGGGCTGTCATCGAGAGGCAGAAATGATTGAACAACAGATGAAAGCAAAGCTAGCGGCTAATCCTGCGGGTCCTGGTCAACAGACTCCGCAGCAACAGCAGCAAACACAGCAGCAACAACAACAGGCTGGCGGCAGCGGTGCCGACTACAGCGCACAGTGGGCTGAATATTATCGCAGTGTAGGAAAAATTGAGGAAGCAGAAGCTATTGAAAAGACGCTCAAGAATAAGGTAAAGCCATAAAGCTGTGAAATAAAATGCAGCTGAAATTAATTTATTTTATTTGTGATTGTAGCAAAACGGAGCCGGCGCTGGCGGTAGTAGTAATGCAGCAAATCCGAATCAAGGTGGCCCCAATCCCAATCAACCGCAGCCAAATGCAGCTGCTGCGGCAGCCGCAGCAGCCGCCGCCGCTGCAGCGGCCGGTGGCTATGCCCAAGGTATGACTCCTAGCCAATATGCACAATATTCACAGTATTATGCTGCAGCGGCTGCTGCGAGTCATCCTCAAGGAGCGCCACAGCCCCAGGGCGCCGGAGCCGGCGGTGCAGGTGGCCAGAGCGGTGGTCCACCAGGTGGATATCCGGGTGGCTATCCCGGTGGTGCCTACGGCGGCTACCCAAGCGGACCCACTGGCGGTCCCGGCCAGCAACAGCAGCAGCAGCAGCAGAAAGCGCACAAAAACGATAAACATTGAGGGATTGATTGGTGCCTTGAAATGGTAAGTAAATCCCTCGAATCGAATCCAACTCGAATATTGAATTGATTTGAGCTTCCTTGGTTATTTTTGCTTTCGAATTTGCCTACCTTCTATATTGCCTATCTGTTTATATATTTTGATAAATACTTTGTGAATTTTTTTTTTTTTTTTTTGATAATATGATACACCTATGTATTTAATTACCGTGCAAAACTATGTATGAAAACCTAACATAATTTTGTTTACCATGCGTAAAACTCTTTGCAGTGAATCATTTGAATTGTTCTACTATCCTATGTCTTTTATCCCCAATAAATTAGCAAAAATATAAAAAAAAAAAGAATACAGTAATTGAAGCGCGAAGGGCTGAACGAGATGAGAATTATGACAACGATCGCCAACAGTCAAGACAACCAACCATCAATCAATCAATCAAACAGTCAATCAATCAATCAATTTGCACACAGCTTGAAGCGTCGCGCTTTTCATAATTGTAAATTTATTATATATATTAATTATATGCCAATTACATTGGTTTTTTCATTTTTAATTTTACTCTAGCTTTTAAGTGACTTTGCCTGAAATATTAATGACAAAAAAAAAAAAGCCAACAAAAAAAAAAACACAAAAAACAACAGAAAAGAGAAAACTAAAATGAAATGCTATTGCTGTCCAGGTACAGAGACACACATTCTGGGACAATATACAAATTGCTATTTATATAAATATACATATATGTCGCTATCTATCTAAATATATATGCATAAATATGTATATATATGCAGATAATTTCATATGCATACAATTTCTTTCGTCGTCAATTTAGGCAACTCGAGAACAGGTCCCGACAGCTGCCAACTAGCAAATAACAAAAACAAATGCACACGTAGAACAATTTCCACGTTGGATCGTATTGATTGAAAGACAACCACAGAAAATATACAACAATATATATACATATATGAAATTGAAATAATACCTTTTGATACCACAAAACGTTTCTCTCATACATTTTAACATACCTTAGTCTTAATATATCCATAATACCAATAACTTTATATATTAAATGAAATAATACTACGATCAACGTCTTCACTGATCTGGTAAGAATTTTAACCTGTCAAATTACAAATGGTCTTATCATATATATATATATATAGATTACTTGAACATAGAACAAAAATAATGATGTCCTAGAAATATGTTTTTCGTGTTTTGGATGAAACTGGTTTGTCGATCTGATATTATGTTTCTTTATAACATATAATATATAACTTTTTGTTTTTCAGTTCAATATATACTTTTATATTATATTTGCATAGCCCTAAGGTCTAATTTTGATTTCAGTTCAATTGAGAATTATTATTTTGGTCAGCGACTCCAACGCAGAATTCATGCTCTCTATAAGCCTTTTCAGAAAGGGTCAGAAATAATTGGATATATTGTTCTAATTTTCATTTTCTATTCATCTCATTTTTGTTTTCTTTTGGTAAGATCTTAAATGCATAGCTAATACTGAATTCAATAATTAACTTATATTATATAATCCATAATAATGTATAATAAATATAATGCAGATGCAAACATATATATGTATGTCATTTCAGAGAACATCTTCAAACCAGTTCATAGCCGTAATCCCATATATAAACCAATATAAAAGAATTATAATAATAAACAAATATATATATACAATATTTAATGAGCAAAGCGTGCAAGAAACTTGGTAAGATCTTTTGTTGTTATTTGTGTATGTCTTACAAATATTACAATTATTGAAACCATGAACATTTTAATGCATAACATAGGTCTGCAATTATGAAACACATTATAAACATATATTTATGTATATGCAATAAATAGCCTAAGTTTTATGTCTCCTCAAAATGAATGAACTATTAAACGATGATAATGATGATGATGATGATGATGTGCACCCACTTTCCAATTGAGAATAACAATTTGTATAAGAAAGTGGGCGTGTTGCAAGATTTACTAATCATTTTCGCAGCAGCCTTCGATACATTTGAATAAACACAATATGACTATAATATATA